CAGTCCCAACTTCATTCATATTGAATAAGGATCTCAATTGATTGACGGTATCGCTTATTTTAAGCCATTATAACTAATCTAGTCTTCTACAGGTCTCTTTATGTTAACTGGACGGAGCTCAAATGCCTCTGCACAGATATTAGAATCAGAAACATCGACACTGATACCGACAGATACGATCTATTTCGCTTTACTCCGCCCAGCTCCTATACTGAAGTAACTGATGCATAACTTTGAGTTTAATTCGTGTCGTCGTGCGTGTCACGTTCACTGCTGCCGTTCTAACGTCAGGAACCGGGGAACATAAGACAAATTTCAGGTCAGTTGCGTTGTGTGAAACCACATTAAATGCCTGCAATCATGGCCATTTCATTATAATCTTTTTTCTCCAATTGCAGCTGTAATAACTGGTAACTCATTGTAAAATCTATGCACTCATCAGCAAGCTGACATTGTTTTAAATGTGCTTTCTCTCTATCTAGAAAATGCTCAGTTACAGATGTTATTACGTACCATAGCGTGATGATAATATATTGAAATTATGTATTCCTAATTTTTGCTGATGTTGGTCATGCAGACTCTGTCTCCCAGGCGCTGGGTTGAGCGATATGGTTTGAACAAAATGTGTTAATCATTACTAACAGTTATTCGAGTAATGCTGCTGCATTTTGCTTGTAACAAAATCACCAAGATTGAAATAAAGCCCTGAAATTCTTGAACTACTTCGACAACAATGTGTATCATCAGAGCTGAGGGTGCCAGATCTTGATTTTCTGCTGACATTGACCAGGAGAAAAGTGAGGGAATTCTCACAATTTATCAGCTGCGGTTGTCTGGAACGTGGTGAATTACTGCGAATTGAGAGACACAGTGGCAGGGATCTGAAGGAGGTTCGTACAGAAACATCGTTACCTTGGGACAAGTTGAAGGTCTAAAAAGCTGTGGAGGGATATACATTGATTAACAACATTTAACAGATTGCAACCGCACAATGTTTCTGGATAACTGCTCCAATGAGCTCTAAATGCAGAAATGAGATTTGCGATGTAAATGAAGTCCACGTTGAGGAATTGGCAGGTGAAACACGGTACAGTTATTAACTCTGCCTTCTAACGCAAACATGCCTGTTTATCATGTTCATTGGTAACAGTTTTACCATCTCTGTTTGGCTGCTGTTATTAACTAGTGACAAGATAAAAGCATTTTCTCCTGTTCCCCACGTAGAAGTTTACCAGACCTCATCAATCTGCAAACTCAGAATAACTAATGACAGTGGGTGAAAAAAAAAATCTGAATCTAATTTCAGCAACAGTTTTTCTTTCACTGAAAACCACTTATTCAGGTTATCAAACGACAAAGCAGTTAATCAGCTCAATTAGGTGACAATTTGTTTGTTAGGTCAGAGTTCAGCTGTATCTCAGGACATACAGAACTCAAGTTATTTCTACGTACAGTGAATAATCAAACTGTCACTCCCGTCAGTCAGTGAAACATGTCTGTGAATATTCATATTTTCCTGATCAACAGACTGAACTATTAACGGTTTTATTCTTGGAGCGAAACATAGATTTGTGGTTATCGACGTCATGAGACAAGCAGATCCAATTCATCCTATCACATGATCCTCTGGAAGTGACGTCAAATTAAACGAAAACAATGCTGTCTGCTTTTTCTTGTCCGATGATCTGCAAGTTTCTGAGGCACAGAAATATCCCTGCTGTCCCAGAGCAGCAGCAATGTTGCTCTCCCTTCTCACTCTTATCGTTCGTAGTTGGGAAAAAAAAATAAACTTTATAACAGAGTTTAATCTCTCGAGGTACGAATTCGTGAAACAGAGTACCCGCATTAGACTCGTATCAGAGGTGGATCAATGCGCGTTTTGGTTATGGTTTGCACGTTGGCCTGCGTGTGACATGAGGAATTAAGAGACACAAAGCACCACAGATAAATGATTTATGGAGATGATCCTGGAATTGAGAGATCTTAACTTTTAGAGAATAATGAATAGTCTGCTGATTTTTTTTTTCTCTGCTGGCGAGAATACGAACAGTTGACTGGGTTGATGACTTTACAATGGTGAAAAGATCTTAGTTTCCGAATATGGAGAAGGATATTCCACTTGTGCAGGATTACATATCTCTAAATTTAAACAACAAAATTCAAGTGGCTAACAACGATCCGATGTGGATTTCAGGAAAAAAAAATCTTTGGCTGGAAAATAAGTGGAATGAGATGGTCATGATCACAAAGAGTTTTTGGAGTGAGCAACAAAGATTCATTTAAAAGGAGACGAGGAGAACACGTGAAGGAGAAAGCGATGGAGTGATTTGCAGATAAAGTGAGGGATTGAAACAATCAGGATGCTTGTGATTATTATGGACTCGGACGTGGAACTGATGGGCCTAATGATTTTTTTGTATTCTCGATTTTATTTTTTGTCACACCGTGAATTCACACCTTTAGTTCAGTTGGTTAAAACATTTAATCCCTGATTTCCACTTTCTGTAACCTTATGTTCCAGGCCAGTGCTCTGTCACTCAGACGGAGCCCAAACTTACACAGACAGAGGGAAAATATTTCACTTTAAACTGCACTGACACCGGTAATGTTGATTCCTTATCCTGGCACGGACAGGATCTCGTCAGACAGGCCAAGTCTTCATTCTTGTGATACACAGCGGTGCTGCTGAATTTAAAACGATTTTCGCTCAGGCTTAGGCTCTGATGCCTTCCAGCAAACAAGTTTTACCAATTGACCATATTGGAGCTGCTGCTATCTGACACTGCGAGCTATAACCGGACAATTCAGTCTGACAGTGTGGGGAACGAGTGAAAAGCTTGAATAATAAATGTCGCAGGTTTCTGGGTGACAGTTGCTTCGGATCGATGAGTGTTGGTAATAATGTTTCACATAGTGACACTTCAGTATTTTCCCGTGAAAACGTCTTTGTCCGAGTTGTTCATGATCAGTGAGCAGCGCTATTAATGGCACACAGTAACACCAATACCACAACATCATTAAATATTATCCCACAGTGGTCAAACGCATTGTGTTAAAAACGAAAATTGAAGTCAATGCTCATTTCGAACTTAGTTCGGTCATCAGGAAATCTTTTTTAGCCATTGTGTTGAGTATATTTCGGACGATGTCGATAGATTAGTGGGCCTTAAAGGAAAGAAGTGATTTGAGATTTCTACTCGAAATAATCAACTATGATCTCATTCACTGGTACAGCATATTCGCCAGGCTAAATGGCCTCCTCCAGCTCCCATCCTGTGTTCATATGGCCGGCACTTTGAGGTTTAAAATTGGAGAACAATGAAGCTATAAGGCGACTGTGTGTCTGTGTCAGAAATGAGCTAATCAGCACGGAAATGGGATATGACACATCATTGATACTTAGCTGAAACAATTCAAATTCAACCCCTTTGTTCAAACCAACCATCCACTCTGCAAACATGCTGACTTTTATTATTTGCTCATTCCTCACTGCTGCAAATCCTTTAATCGGTAAGCTACTGTGCTGTAAAATGTTCACTTCTAGGTAATATGACTGCAACAATTTTCCCTTTGGCTGCGTTTCTTTGTTTGTTATCTGTATAACATTTATTGTAATAATTCTTTAAAAAAACATTGTCTTTCTATATTTCTGCAGGCATTAATTGTGCAGACTCGAATTTACAGGAGCAGGTTACAGTGATGCAGTTTGATGGAGAAACTTGTGACTTTTCATTTCAGATATTTGACAAAAGATGATACGTACGGCTTGTAATTGAGCCGTCAGGACCCGGTGAAATTCTTCACCTACATTCCTAAATAATGGGAGTGTTGGCAGAACAAAATACATTAATGCTCGATTTTCTGCATTTGGAAATACGAGGGGAATATGAGCTGCGGCTGTCTGACAATGTGGTGTAACACTAAGTGCTAAGGGTTACAATGACAGGAACCAGTGAGAGCCACAGTCAACACACTGCTGTAATGGGACAAAGTGAATGGTATGGGGAGTGGGAGATGCATGGGACGTTGATACTGCAGGCTAATTAAGACTTTCTAAACGTTTTCTTAGAAAGCACTGAATTGAGAAATACCCATTTCTTTAACAACAGAGAATAACAGGTGCTGCATTGGAGAATGTTCGCTTTATATAGGATGCATTCTGAACATCACTCATACATGCGTTTAAGGAATTTATGACATTTTGTACAGTTTTTTTTTTGTTTAACACGAGTTTCCCAAATTATCTGCCCTGACTTTTCCAGTCATTCTTGAATCTTTAACTGTTACAAGAAAGCACCACGGAATGGACAACAACAAAATAAACTGTTTTTAATTCAATTATTTAAACAGCCTTAGCCGGCGAATTTATATTTCTAAAAGCCCTTCTAACATTTTGCATGACAAGTGCCATTTTCTTCAATTAATCATTCATATTTAGTTGGTTTTCTGACCAAGTCTTCCAAGAAAACCCCACTTCTGTCTTTACGGATTATTGCAGTTAATTTATCGTTGTTCTTTGTCCTCTCCTTGTATCCTGAAAATATTCCTCTTTAATGTTGCCATATTACGGATTCTTAATCTTTAGTATGTGTATCTTTAAGAGGTGTTCAATTAGGTTTGTGCAAATATTATGTTTCTCACTTGGCAGCTGCTCTTCTTACTAAATTCAGCAAATTCACATTGAAAATTATTTGTTCCATTTTGTTTCCAAAACTGCGGTACACAGAAATATTTAATGCCAGGCCAGCTGCACAGTTTGTATTCTCACTGAAAGTGAGTGAGATGCTCTCAGGGATTCCCAAAGAAGGAGCAGACTATTCAGTCCTCACACTGTTAACACAATAATCAGAATCAGTATTCGCTGTGAACAACTTCAACTATTGACCATGTGGACTGTTCACCGGGATTTTACCTTCACAGTAATGTGAATTGTTAGTCTGTATCCTGTTGTTATAAACAGCGCTCAACAGCAGTATCCGTGACCTAGAAAAATGCAGCAGTTATTGTACGAGGCTTTTGCTCGTTTCTATCACTGTGAGGCTCATTGCACAGTAATAGACCGCGTTGTCAGACAATAGCAGCTCTGAAATGGTTAATCGGTACAACTTGTCTTTCTGCTGGACTACATCAGAAAACCGGGTCTGAGCAAAATCCGCCTTTAATTCAGCACTGCCCGTTGTGTGCCTCCGGACTGCGAACTCGGGCTGTCTGCCCGGGTACTGACGGTACCAGAACAAATAATAACCATCGTTAGGATAGGTACAGGTTAAAGTGATATTGTGTCCCTCCGTCTGCATTAGCGAAGGATCCTGCTGACTAACAGAAACGGCATCACTCCAATCTGGAACACAAGGTTAGAGAAAGCAGATATCACTGATAAATGTTTGAGAAAAATGACCTGATTTTAGAAATTCACGATCTTATCTAAAAATAGATAGAATTTAGAACAGGAAAAAAACTCGTTCGCATCATTAGGCCCATGCTTGTGACGATAATAACCAGAGTCATCCTTCTTAATTCTTCTTATCATTCTATTAGCAAATCAATCAATCCCTTTCTTCCTCGATTGTTTTTCAATTCTCATTTAAAATGCATCTTTACTGTTCACTACAAATACTTCTTCAGGCAATGAAAAACACATTCTTCCTGTTCTCCAGCTATTCATCATTTTAAACAAATTTCTGAAATCTTCATTGGATCTGTTTGTGTCGTTTGAACTTTTCATTTAAATTTATGGTTCTAAAATCCTTTTCAAGTGGAATATTTTGTGCCGTGACCAGAACATACATCTTTTCACTGTTGTAAAGATATCAGTCCGTATACCCCTTAGTCATCCCTTTTGTGGAGAAAAGAACCCAAGCCTGCATAATTTTTGGTCAGTTTCAAAATTTCAATTGTAGCGCATTCTACATAAACCATTTTTTTTTCTGTTATGATTTACATCCGTTCACTCTTTGTGTAAAACAGAGACGATGCTTGTACGCAATTACCAAGTGTGCTGTAATCCACCTCCGATACCTGTCTAACTCTGTTTCTGACTCTGTACTCTGTTTCTCAAATATATTCCTCCAACCATTAAACTCTCCTTTAAATTATAAACTGCTTACAAACATTGGAAGTCACCGAGGCCAAACAGAGAACACACAGCCACATTGCTGCTGCTCTGGGTTTCGAAGGATATTTCTGACTCTCAAAAATCTGCAGAATGTCTAACAAGAAAAAAAATATGATAGTTTGGATTGCGTTCAATTTGATGTCACTTCCTGCGGATCATGCGATAGGCTGATCTTGATATGACGTTCTGATAACTTCGATAGCCACAAGTCTCTATTTACGTCAGAAAAGAGAGACATTAATTTTCTCCCAGATGTTGAGACAAAGATGAACAAATGGAGATAGTCTATATTTAATTCACCCAAGAGAAGTTTGATCGCCAACTGAAAGCAGAAACAAACTTGATCTCTGACTGACCTGACGCACAGCTTAATCATGAACTGATCTAAAACAAGTTGTCTCAATAAAATAAATTTCTTTGTTGAAGTTAATTTGAGAAGTTATCTTTCCATTCATTGTCTCTAATCAGACTGAGTTTGCAGACAGGGAGACTTCTGCTAAACTTTCTACGCGGGACACCTCAGATTTTCCGTGTGTGACACCAAAAATGTAGGGAGCGAAGAGGTTTGTTTTGGGGGCTGGGGCAGTGGTGTGTGTGTGTGTTGAGAAGTGATGATCAAAGATGCCAATGTGCAAACGAGTCCGGCTATTGAATGTGCATTAAAGAAGTAATTTTAATAAACTACACTGTGTTTCTTCTGTCAATTCCTTTCTGTGGAATTCTGATGAAGGGTCATTGGACCCGAAACTTTAACTGTAATTTTTCTTCACAGGTGTTGTCAGACCTGCTGAGCTTTTACAGCAACTTCTGCTTTTGTTCAGCCTCAGACGTCTCGTCTCTGGTGTACAAAATAATGATGAAGTGGGCATTAACATTAGTTTGACTCCTTTATCACGGCCAATCTTTATTTCGGGAGTAGACGAAAAATAATTACTTTTGTTGAGTAATAGCGCCAGAACCCATTGTTTCGAGACCTGCTCAGTGCGAGTTAAAGAAAATCGCGTCCGATATTAAAAGGGATTTAAATCGAATGTAGTGGAATCCACGCTGCCAGAAGAAAACAGTTGGGCAGGCTGATATTGAAATGTGAGTTTTATTATGCTAATTTATTATGCTTTATGATTCAGCTTGGAGATCTGACCCATTAAAAGGAGGTAAGTGTGTCTTGCTGGTTTTTGTACATGCCAACAGGTTCTGCGTATCAATGTGGAGCTCAGTGCGCAGTAGTAGACGGCAGAGTCGGAGACTTCAGCGCTGGTGATATTTAAATGAACTGTTTTCTTGTCTTTGTCCAAATTAGCGGAAAAACGGTCAGGGAAATCTGGAGATCTGCCCCCTTGCTGCTCATTGTATTTGTGCAGTAAATATCTTGGAACTTTCCCAGGATACTGGATGTACCAAAAGAGAGTTTCTCCAGCTAACTCTGCTGTTGTGTAATTACAGTTCATTATTGCAGTATGGTCTTCCTGAATGGTCCATTCAGATGGATCCTGGGAAACGGAATATTGACCGCTCGTTCCTGCAACAAACACATACAAAGTGTTAAAAAAAAAACAAAAACTGAATAAGTAAATGCAATTAAATACAAATGCCGATTTTAACTCTGATTTACCGGTCACCACGGCCATTATTATCAATAAAGAATACAGTAAACACATGCTATCTACGTCAATAGCAAACAACACGCTTTAAATGATCTGCTGACTCTTTATCAACCACTAAACTTAACGAGGGGGCTGGCCTCACTTTTTGTGAAACTGAGCAAGGCTTCCCTGTGCTGTGATTGGTTGTGTTCTCTGATGAGACGTCAACTGTGGACGAAACAGAATCAGTTGACGACAAATGTCGAAATACGTTCTTATTGCATAGCTCTTTGTTTTTGTGTCTTTCTCATCACCTTGTTCAGTCTCAATTTTTAAGGCATTCTGCTTCAGTTTAACTTGCTTCTATTTCCATCGATGACACCAACTTTACATAGATGAATCATTCTCTCTACTTAAGGTAAAAAGTTAATAATTCAAAATCGATGTCCTACTCAAGTATTAATTGATGTATTCGAATGCTGACTGAACTTTTTTTTTGTAAAGAGTATTAAAAAAAAAACTAGTGATCCCATTCTAAATCAGATTTTGGATTAATAGTGCTAATATTGGAGGGAAAACAGTGACTTCAGTCATACACGATCCTTAACAGAAGCTCTTTCGATTCCAACATCCGTGGAACTTGCTTTGAGGTTAGATGAGCTTTGAAAGAAGCTATGATATATAGGCACCAGATACAGATATTTTACAGGTAAAATTTAACTAACTGCATATCACAGCGTCTTAAAAAAAAGGAAGAAAAGTACGTCGACCTCTTCCCTCGCAGAAAAAGGGTCCCAGAGTAATAGCTCAAATCCTGGGCAGCGAGCTGAATGTCGTTCAATCCAGAGAATTGGAAGGGATGACGCTAAATAAGATGTTCCACTTTGACGGTAATTCAATTAATTTATAGTCTCTTATCAGGAACAGAACCTCGGGAAGTGGACAGGGCAGATTCACATACAACCGCTGAAGGCCTCAAACCCCACATCAAACTCATTGATTTGATTCTCAGTCTGCAGACAGGAGCTAGATCACTGAAATCAGACAAACGAAGGGAACGAGCTTGGGGGTCTGGAGACAGGGAGCGCAGAAAAAGAATGGATGAGAAAAGGCGAAACATCTTGAAGAAGAATGATTGCATGGAATCTAGATTTACAGATATTTTTGGAGAACAAGAAGAAGTAAGAGACTTACATTATGTGGTGTCTTAGACAGACAAGATTTGTTTTCCTTATATTGATGTAAGTTTAAGGACAATATTACCGAATTCCTTAAAATTAACAGGGGATTTGACAGAATATTAAACATGGCATATTGGTTTCGTTGGCAAGACTACCTGTAACAGGAGGAACGAAATCCAGAGAAGTGAAATAACAGGAAGTATCTTTTATAAATTGTAATTTAGCCAAATTTATAATGCCCCATGCGAGAGGACGGTGGAAGCAAATTAAATGCTAACTTTCAGAATGGTGCTTTAAAAGACCTGGAAAGTGATTAAATTTGAAAAGCTGTAGAATGTGAAAAGAACGATGGGACTGGAACAAGTTACGTGGTCCCTTCAAAGAGCAGGCACAGGCACAATGATGCATGTCCTCGTCTTGTGTGATACGTTTATGCAATATTTGATCCTTTATTCGTCCCCTCTCTGCTTCCCATTTGCTCCTGGGTTACCCTGTTCGTGAGACAGTAGAGTGGTCGCAGAACTTCCAACATTCACCAGTTCCCGATGCATGTGAGTGGCGCTGTGCAATTTCTATTCTCACACAGGGCAAATTCACTCAAAACCATGTCCGCAGCGGCCCTGCCCTTAGCATCCGTTTGTAGCTCTTGCTATGAAACCCTTTCCCGTCCTGTGTTCCTTAAACGATTATTGCACTGTCACTGTCTGTCATGGGTGGAGCAGCTTTGAATGGAGATCACGGAATGTGAGTTTTCCACGCTGCAGAATAACAAACCAGAGGGCACCACGAGGAACCGTCTCGCACCGTGTCTCGTAATTATCTCATTTCTAGGTCAGTTTTGCTTTGTCAGAAAAAATAAAAACTCCATTCTCCCCGACCTATATGTTTGCAATCCAGATATGATTATTGGTAAATCACTGACGATAACGATCAAAATTTTGATTACTAGTATCACTTTATGTTAGAATGTGCTTAGAAAGACGCAATAGAACAGTTGGTTCCTTGAGTGGTATTTAAAAGAGATGAAGTACTGGTCTACAAATCTGCAAGTTGAAGACAAGAAATGCAGATAATGCTCAATGATACATCCAGTACCCAGGACCGCATCCACAGTACGTGACTTGATTGGGCAGTTAATAAATAGGAACTCTAACTTCAGTTCAGTTCTAAGGAAGAGTCACTGGACACGAAACGTTGGCTTTCATTTCTCTCCACAGATGCTGTCAAACCCACCGAGCTTTTCCAGAAATTTCTATTTTTGTTTCTGATTTACAGCTTCTGCAGTTTTTTTTCTGGTTCTTATCTGAATTTTCGTGTGCTATCCTCTGCAACGTTTAAGAAAACTATGGTGGTTACGCAACAAGGCCCTCATATCTGACTCTGCCGTGTGTTTCTGAGCCATGAGCCCCACACCGATTCAGAGATGACAGATTCCGCACAAACCCACTCTCAAACGTACAGGTAGAGTGCACCAGATGGCGCTCTCATACCAAGAAACGGAAACAATGCAACTCCAGAGACAATGAGACAGGAGAGATAAGCATAGATCTCAAGACGAAATATTGAATTTACTTGGAGGATCATATCTGACTGTGAATTCAGGATACAAATGTCTTTGAAAAGAGCATCAGAAAACTGGCTGTGCAGCTCTGCTTCCCAAATTCATGCCGAATTACTCCAGAAATTTCCCTTCACATCCGTAGGTCACTGGCCTCCACGAAAACCAGAGAAGCTTCATTCCTCCTGGTAATTGCACTGGGAGGGGGCAGATTAATAATGTAGATCGTAGTTTCTGCCCGGCATACGAGTTTAAAAGTACCAAAACCCCCGGCTTCCCATAAGGTAGATTTTCAGACTGAGTACTAAATACATCTAGGACGTCTCACTCTCTTGTCCAAAAACACGTGAACAGTTCTAAGATCTCTTGGCCGAGGGAGCCAGTTCAAAATCTTCTCTCCCGATCCCAGGCTTTGAGTTCAATGCTGTTTATTTGTTGTCTCAGACGTGGATTGAATGGAAGATTAATTTTTGAAATCCACATTAGGTTGAATCGGTCATCAAGCAGAAACAAATAAATGAAGAGGACTGCGAAAGTAATAATCGGAATATGCTCTGCAGATACAATTTTATTGCACTTTCTTTACGTTTGAAATTGAAATATTTTGTCATGTACATTTATGAATGTTGAAGATATGTTTTAAAGTACACAAATCTGCCCACATATCGATAAATTGGCTTTTGATACTAATCTCTGGACAGGACAGATGAATAGCAGTTGTGGAAAATGCGATATAAATATCAAA